ATTTGAATACAGCAAATATGCTTGAAGTATTGTATTCGGTTCGACTTTACAACTACGCGATAGATTTGACGTGTTAACTTATACATCGTCGAAAAAGGCGCGGGGTGTGGTCGAGATCTGGTTTTTCCTTCGATATTACCTGCGAGAGTGCGAGTGATTGAGTGTTGGTGTCCATGTAGGTATTGTCCGGTGCCTTCGAATTCGTATTTTAAGACAGCAAATAGAATGAATATATTGGTAAGCCTAATATGAATCAGGGTAGGAAGGAATATATGCTTTTAGGTAAGGTGAAACGTATTCAAAACCTTTGCTATCAAATATATTTTTAATGGTATCGCTCTAACTTGCTGTATTTCGATTTACGTTATATTTTCAGTAAATAACGTTTTGTGTAAAATCTATCCGTCGTGTAGTGGAGGATAGCCCTTAGCTTATATGCCACTAGTAACCACCGGAATGGGCAATAGATATATATTACATATGTTAGCGATATCCATATTGCCGTAAAGGGATGCCGAATCATTTTCAAATTGAATTCCAAATTAAATCTCAAAAACTTGAGAAATAAAGTAAGAAATTTAAAAACCAGTTGAGATGTCAGGATTTCGTTTCCAAAATGTCAAGTTTAATGTATCACATTATTACGCAATGTTGATTAGTATAGACTGAGGCGTTCTGAGAAATATAAGAATACCTAGAATGACGATAAATCTTTAGACGATAAAAGCTGCGTAGGTGGAGTGGAATTTTGATGAAATCTCTGGTATTATAAATATACCCTTGCCACATTTTCAAATAACAAAATTTAGTTTTAGAACACATATTATCTCCATGAATCTCCCACGCAAAATACAATTATTTAATACACTGAAAAGTCAACTTGAAGTTAGTTTAGCCACAGATTGGATAAGAACAGTTTAACGTTTCAAGGGATTACTTATGCGATAAGATATGGAAATTCACACAAGTGGGTGAAAATTTCGTATTTACTCGACATCTGAAATCCTAAAATAATGAAGATATTAAAATCATTAATTTATTTTACAACAGTACATTGGTATGGTAGTATCATTGAAAATATCTATGTACTTTCTAAATTTCATTTACAAACTCGAAACTATTCCCATTAACTTGAAAAAAAATCTGATATTCCATTTTATGAGGCTCGTTGTACATTCGCTTCTAACTTGACACGATAGTAAAAGTTAAAAATGAGTTATTATTCTTGCTATAGACATATCCGATCACATTGTGATAATCTGAGTGTAATTCGTTGGACGCTGAAATATCGCAGAATAGATAGAGGAAATGTGTTGATAACAGGTCATTTCGAGTTTGTTAAAATGTCATACTTCCTTTATTCCGATGTAAAAGTAAAACCTCTCATTTTTATGCAGTGATTAATAGTACAGGTTGATGCGCAACTGCTAAATAAAACATAAGAGTAGGATTTGATGGCAAGCCGACTATAAAGAATAGTAGAATACAATCACTGAGTCATGTCATGACTTTACTTTTGATCTAAGCGCAAATAAATTGGACTAATTTCATAAATGTAATTAATAAATTTTTGAAAGGTTTTGTATGCTGGATTTACCAGTGATTGAATGAAGTTGTAGCCAAATTTTTTAGTGCTGATTCTATTTTCCACCTCACCCTGTTATCAAGAGGTTATTGTAACAGGAACGGAAGGATATTCTAATATAAATCAGGAATATTGTCATTTTTTTCTATCTCAATGCTTCTTTTATTTTTGTTTGCAAATGCATATAAGCAGTTTGCGAGCGCAAGTAGCGAGCGAATGTAATCTGATTGGCTTTTACTATTAGTCAATAGACTGGAATTTGGAGAATTTAAAAAATTCTCCATTTGCATTTCGGCGCTCTGTAAATATTCAAATCAAGTGATGATAGCAACTGCGTTACAATTTTCTTGGAATACTTCGCTAGAAATTGGAATGCATAATTGGTTTTAATAATTATATTTTCAAACCTGGATAAATTTCTTGATAGTGCATCGAGTATGTCATTTTATGCTCAATTGAGACTCTGGTCTGACCACTTCTACAGTGCCCACTGTCTAATTTGAATTAAGGCATTTCAAGACCGACAATTCGCCAAAAAATTGGGAAAACAGAATCGAGTGTTTGTGCTATTTTGAGAAGCTATTCGCCTTGATTTGCGGTATTGTGGTATTTACGTTGGGCTCCCAAGGTATGAATTGTACCGATTATCTTGCTACTCACGTTTTGTATATAATCTCACCAATAAATGAAATTGAACAGCATAATATATTACAACAAATATCCTATATTGGTAAAACAAAACGCAGTGTATGTTTCAGGACAAAATTTATCATTAGAAAGACCAAGATACTAAATAGCGCTTAAATAACCTGTCGTGTGAACGAGATATTTAAGTTTCATTTCATCTTGTTGTAGCTCATTGTATTGTCTCTGTCTGCAGTGACCAAAAAACTCTTTTGATTATTCAAGAATTTGGCTCGAATAAAAGGTGATTCAATCTGTTGTGTTATTTGTTGAAGACTTGTTATGTAAGCATACAGGAGTGCTACTTTATGGTTTGACACACAAGTGTTTTCTTCCACTACGCAGTGTTCTTGCCAGTAAAGCGTGAATTTTGAAAGACTGAAGATTTAGACAATTTTGCGCGTCTATTTTACGGCTAATGGTATTTGGCCTTGACTTGATCGTATAAAACACATTTCAGATGTATAATCGGCCAAACGTGGCAGTTTCATACGTGATGAGACCAACCATTAATTTTATTTTGGCGAAGAAAATTTGACTGTGATATGGTCTGTTGAATTTCATTGCGTCTTACGTACATTTTTACATCGTGAATGGAAGATGACGTCTCAGCTTAATAGTGCTTTTTACAACGATGGTATTTGACGCGGATCACTGGTTTTGCTAAAAAGTCAGTCGGCTTATACGCGTTTACCGCATACTTAGCTGGTTCGCCGCGATGGGACCTCAAGAAATCCTTCAGGTATACGTCATCACGTGATTGATGTTTCTTATTTTCAAAACCGGCGAACACATATTGGGGGTCGATGCAATTGAAATGGAGGTTGAAAACGACGGAGCAGGTTTAGCAGATTCATGCTGTCTTTGTGTCATTTTCAGCGTACGTATGACTCGTTTCGACGTAAAAAGAAAAATATGAAACATGTTATTTTATATGGAATTTTGACGAATAAAAATCAAAAATAAATCAAACGAGATTAGCGCAAATTTACACTGGATATAACAGGTCATTTAGAGCTTTGAATATAAATATGTGTGTATGTGATTTAAAAAGGTGGTTCCACGCATGTACACATCTTTTCATTCTTATTGGTCTGACGACGTTTTACTCAACCATGATTCATTCATAGGATAACTTACCGGATATCATAAGCTTTTGACTGTTTTATAAAGTATTGGAGATCAGACAAATCCCAGTCTTATAAATATGTCCTGCAGTTTTATTGGAGGTAACGTCGCCAATGTTAGAATTAGAGCCGTTTATCTGAATTCTGGGACTTCAGTTGTCAGATGAGATATTACTTTATGTAGACCGGAATTAAATGACATAATGGTAAGGAAAAGTTATGCAATAATATAATGGTATTTCCGGTATAGGAGCCAAATGAACATGCGATCATCAAAGTCAGCTCCCACCAAGTTTGCCACTATTATGAGAATGCTGACTGCGATAAAGCCGTTAAAATTTCTAAAATTCAGCATCTTTGAACAAAATTATTTTATATTGTTGCATATTTACGATTTGTGTACAAAGGTTTAATATGAACTATGATATTCGTTGAATGAGATCTACATTGCAAGGTCGCAAGGACCCTTGATTGGGTGGAATCCATATTCTTCAGTAGGACCAAATAAACAAGTTAACATTGTTTGAGCTGTCACGTAAATGTGTACTCTGAGGCAATGTAAATCAAAATTTGAATTGCAAAATCTCCGGGCTCCGAAGCTTCAGCAATCTTTTGTGATCCCACAACTGCTTTTTCTACACTCGCGACTTGCTTTTGGCCAATACTGTTCATTCCACAAAAGGACGATTATGTTAGTTCTATTTAGCTTGATTTGTTTTACTTTCAAACGGTTAATTTTCTAGTAATTTGAATTGTGTGCAATGATTCTTCGTTTTTTTCGTCATATTTGAAGAATTAGCTTATTAATGGTCATTTCAACGAACATATGGTCAAGCTATACGTCAAAATGTGACATGAGTTAACGCTGTCACGCTGTTTAAGATAATCACGCTAACGCTTCCGACATTTAGATCATGATACGGATTCGATTTCTCGTCACTGATTCACAATATTAGCCCACTCGCACATACGGAATGGTATGAGAAATATTCTGCTAAAAATAAAAGCTGGTCTTGCTATATCGGATACGAATTGTTCATGTTCGTTTTGCTAACCGTTGTCGTTGTCGCTACTTTTTTAATTTCCTAGAGTCCTAGAGTACCCGATATTTAACGAAAACTTTGCTGTCTTATTCTTATTCAAGGGTGAACACTTGTTGTGTAGTAGTGCTCGACCGCATCCGTGTTTCTTGTCCGTTGATCTCTTCACCAAACTCAGCGATGTAGGGGTTTATCAATCCATATATTTGAACATTGATGTCTTGGTTTAAAATGGGCGTCTATTTGAAAAGTGTTGAATTATTGCATCGTGCATTTTGCATACATTATCGATTAATTTCGATTAGTTGAGATTGAATTTAATTATACATCATAAATGAAAAAAGCTTAAAATTCACACAACGATATTCTTACCCAACGCTTACAATATTTTACATAGTAATGGGCAAATACATCGACCGCTAAACCAAACGTTTACGAAATGTTTGCCGAGTTATATTTACCCCAATATTGACTTAACATCGTCAAAAATTCAATTTGTCCAACATACTACGCCTCGCCCTGATATGATATTCATCCCTGACGAAGACATTTATCAAGTTATCAATTCTTTATTTTAATACAGAGTTAGATATTCAGTCATTACATCTTGATTTTTGTTCATCTACTTTGTCGCATTACTTGAAAGAAGCAAAATGTGGAAGCAAGGACTTTTTGGATGTTTTAGTAACGCAAGTTTAAGCTTTTTGGCATGCTGCGCTTTCCCCCTTGCAGTGGGAAAAAACGCAGAAGCTGTCGGTGAACCAAATTCAGTTCTGTGGGTGATTGCTGTCATGTATGCTCCATGTGTTGCTGGTGCTTTGCTTCGAGGACTAATTAGGAAAAAGAAGGTCGGTATAAAAAGGCGTTTAATCCATCAATTCATCGACGTTCATTGTAAAAACTAAAATATATATTTATATATTCAAAACTGAATTGTATTTAAAATTGTAAATTACGATAAATTGACTCTTGTGTAGTCTGATCAATCGTGCGACAATTTATCTCCGAATAAAACGAACAGACGATGGTCTTTTCATACCGGGAATATAAACCAATGTAAAATTGTGTGTTTAATCGGGTTCACAGGGCGTTGGTTGTACATAATTTTATACACGATTCTTAAATTATAGAGATTTGTGATAACACGGTCTGGCGAGTAACAATAACTAAATTTAACAAAAATGAATATCAACATATTCACAGTCAATCGTAGGTTTCTAATGAGTACAAATGTATGTGTTACCTACTCCTTGCTTGCTTCTCCACGAGCTAAAATAAATTCAATGAATGTTCATCATTGCTACGTTGTTTGCACAACAAAAAAATGTACGATTTATTTCATTATAAAATATTATTAATTTCCTCCACAAGTCTCATATATACTAAAGTTTTATATTATGAAATGAGGTTCGATTAAATTCAAAATGAAATTTAACTCATTTAATATTAATAAAATAATAAACCAATGTTGTTTAGTTTGGAATTGTATTTGTTGGTATTAAAATATTAGCGAGGCGGTTTGGAAATCATATATGGCCTACGCATTTGTAGGAAAATACCGCTTATCCATTTAACTTACTTCAATCGATACGCACCTGTGAGATTTTTATGTTATCATTGTCAGCTCTTATTACGTTTTTCAAATAGTATGTTTTCCATACAAATGTTTTGTTTTTGCAATTACTTTTTAGATTGGATTGTGCAAATCATATATTTGTAAATGTCAATTTGATTGTAATAAATATATAATTTGAGTTGTACTTCATGTTCATACTCATCTTTGTAATTTCAGGGAATTGAAGGTTCATTTTTTGTGGATTGCTTTTTATGGTTTTGTCTTCCATGCTGTGCCATATGTCAAGAAGCCTCGGAAACTGGCGCTTTGGATTACTTACAACAGCCCGAACTACAAAGCATGGAGCGTGATGCACACGCAACGACATAGACTTGTTTTCAAAGAAATTTCTCTTGCTTTTGTGGAATCTGAACCTAATCGAAATGAACTTCACCGAAAAGTAAAGTTGATTGATGAATTTTCATTGTTACGTCAAGTACGAACTTATGATATGTGGTTCGAGCTTAAACAACCCTGAATCGATGATGAAATTTCATAACGAAAACCCCTCGTCACCAACATTATGAATATAGAATTCAACACAATTTTCTCATAATTTTTTAACATTATAATCCCAAATAATGATATTTTTATTCACATTCATGTTTTTACACCATTCGTGCTATTTATTAATGCAAATAATCGAATGACACGAAAAGATACTCATACCTGTAAAGGCAATTTCATCACTTGTACTAATCTATATATTTGCCTAGCCCACAGAATCCGGTTCCCGAATTGATATAAATTGAAAAACAAATTATGAACATGCATGTGTCGGAATATTCCAAAATTTGTGAATAGCCATTGTTTCTCAGTGCGTTTGAGGTGTCCGCCCTTACACGACAAAATAACTTTCACGCAAAGAATTTTTTTACATTGTGCCTTGGAGGAAAATGAGAATATGTTGGCAACGGAACACAAACTTGTACGGATCTTCGTGCTCATACGATTAAACATGCCAAGTTGAATAATATTCAATACTGTGTTTGCTATAGCGCTGCTTTTGAGCGTAGGATGCGTAGGAAATGTGAATATTAACTGCTTTGCGGTACCTTGGTCTAATTTGTACAATGTACGTTTTACTTTCGTGGTACTCTCTAATAACTAGCTAGTTCTCTTTTCATGGCTTAGTATTACTGCGACCCCGTAATGTGTGTGGCAATACGGTAGCAAAAATATGATAGTTCGATCTGAAATATCAAAAACCTAAAATCGTATTTATCGTAATAATGAAATGGTTTGTGGTCAAGGCAAACTCAGGACTTATCCGGGACTTATCCATTACATATATTGCATTTTCTCTCACTTCCACGTCATAACCATATAATACCATGAACCAGAAAAGCATGTTCTAAACGAAAAATGTATTTTGCAATGCAATTCAATTTAAATCATTTTTGCTATTTTCTATGCTAACGCTTCACAGCCATTCTGCATTTGGTAAAATATTTTTGAAATTGTTTTTATTACAATTGTGTACTGAATCATAATATTTGTAATTCGCCATAATTATTTTGACCAGAATGTCATAAAATCGAACCATATCAGGTCACTTTTTGACCGAAATTTTTCCATCCAACACCTTTCCTTTTTTTCCTGATTTGATCCAATTACAAGTTTCAGAACAATATTATATCTTATATCGTAATGTACACTTTCTAATATACTGAATAAAACATATTTTACAACAACTTATGTAGTTTTTATGTATATTTAAAAGTGCTATCGAAAATTGTTTGAGCCGATACTATCGACATTGGCTCAAGACGTAAGAAATCGACTTACAACTTTTATCGCGAAGGAGAAAATTTTAAAACTCTCAATTTGAGTCTTACTGTCATCAACTTCGAAGCGGTATTGCTTCTACTGGCCTGTACGTAATGAATCGAAAGGCCTGTACAAAAATTACAACGTTACATTCGATTTATTAGGATAGAATCGCGACTTTCGAACACAACCTTTGAATAAAAAATACATTTGTTTTAAGCAATTTCCTCCATACATACGTGTAATCTATATATACTCGGAGTGCACATATGTGAAACTCATTTAGGCATGCGTGTGTGATATATTCAAATACCTTGCACCTTGCTGCAATTTAGATACTTTTTTCTATTAGATTCTATAGTTTATAATATATGCAACTATTCAAATAGAACTCTTCTGGTCTCGGCAACACAATTTTCCCCCAAAAACTCATTTATAGGGTGAGACTGTTTGCTGAACAGGTTGAAATAATGTACACACAATGTTTCACAAAGGATTCAAATGAGATTGTGCAAATATGTTTTTCTGCCCGACAATATAAAAATTTTCTCACATTATTTGACAAGATAATTAAATTATAAAGAGTTTGTTTGATTTTTCCTCATATCAATCATTGGCGGTTTACGCGATTTATTATCCAGAGGTGTGGCTCGACAAAGTTGAATCGTTCGTGAATTGTGATATTTGGCAGAACAAATTTACAAAAACTGGAGACATTTTTGCGAAAATAGATTTGATTTTCGTGGAGAAAAAAACACAATTCAGAGCAAACACAAAACCTCGTGGCGGTGAACTAATTACATTAGGTGCCTGTACGTTCGGATGCAGATTATGCGCCAAAGTTACCTTTGGTTGCGATTGTTTTTTTTTTTGACGCGAACTTGAAAATACGAACTAAATTGAACGAAAATGCTCAATTCCCTTTCGTATCACGGGTTTTGCACCTTTGAAAGGATTGCTTCAATCCATAACGAAAAGCAATGTACGCATATATATATATATGTAACATTTTTGGCCCACCCTGTATATAACCAGTCACTTCTGAATCTGCAAAGGTACCATAATCGGTCAAAGCCCGTTTTGCCATCTGATTTATCCTGCTCAAACTCGATTTGTTCCCGATCTAATAGATTTTTTTTGTAATGTTTCAAAACAGTAATCGTTTGAAACCAAAGGAATTTAGATTAGATTGTTTACTATGACATTATTCTTTCGAGTCATGAAATAGCGGGAAGATTATACTTAAGAACAATTGATACTAGTTCATTAAGTTAAGCTTATAAGCAATGCTGTGAATACTTCACAAATTGTATGTTGCTAGTTTTTTTGTGGTTTACACCTTGGTCTCACCTATATCGTGTACAAACGAGTTTTCTTATTTCATCCCAATTCGCCTTTCAATTTCCAAGTCTGATCAAGCATATACAACAGATAACAACGTTGTGATTTTCTCATATTTGATCAGGGTATACACCCGGTCTAACCCAATAAACTTTGGGAGATAAGAACACCTCATGTGGTTGGGATATCGCCGCGAGTTTACTCTGTTGCTTATACAAATAGGTGAATATAAAATTCAATATGGAACGAAACGTTTAATGGAATTTCTAATAGAACAAAATACACACAGGTCACAAGCGTCGGAAGATAATTGACGTTATTTAATTTATTGTCTTACTGCAACTTTTGATCTAATATCACGGCAATGATTAGCTCAAAACAAACCCCATTTAGTCACACCGGCCCTGCTTGTCGGTAAGGTGAGATATCAGATTTCTATGCTTTCCGGTAAATATATTTTGCACGTGCATTATTGACGAATAGATGCTGTCTTTCTAATGGCGAAGCAAATACTATCTTGACATCATCGCACAACGGAGTCCTATAATATTGGTAAAATTATTAACGCGCGATTTTCAGAATGTAATATACCCAAGGGATCACGCCCTGGAAGTCAAAAACATGCAAGGAAAACTTTTGTGACTTAAGTTTTGACAGAAGAGTTGTCATACCTCGATTTTGACATCAAATACCGGCTTTTGGTATTCAATTTGCGTAATGAAATCAAAAGTTATAATCTAGCGGTCAATTCATTTTTACCTCGCCAAATATTTCGCAACCTACGTTTTCGAGTTGTTACCAAATTGTCGGTCCCAAACACCGCGACGTAGGCGGAACAAAAGCATTCCAAAAAAATTGGTCAAACGAGAGGTACATAAGCATGACTGCAACCGCCAAACTTGGGTCGACAGTAAATTGAATATTCCAGCGACAAAGTCTAAAAGTATTAATAGTAACTATCTATCATGAACACTGGTAGCAGCAAACCGTAACCGTCGTATACACAATACTGGGCGTAACTGGTAATGGAAATCGACATACCAGCCTTATTGCGCAAGAAATTATGACGAAATAGTGACTAAGGAATATTACATTCCAAACCTCGCATGGCCAACTGACAAGGCCACCCATAAAGTTGGTCAAATCTAATTTACAAATTTCATGTTGCAACTTGAAGATAGCATAATCTGAATCAGTATCACCACAACGGATGCTTGTTTGCAGGGCGTATGTCAACTTGATGACATCATCAATCATAATTTTGAAATTTCGTTTCTAAATCTGTATTTCCTCAGATATTGAGCTTCAATAACAACCTGGCAAAATTGTTCATTGTTCTCAAAGTGGAGGGGAAGGCCGATAAGGCGACTCATTCACGTAAAACCACCAGTATCTTGTAAAATAACAAACTAGGTCGACATTGATTCGAGCTGATAATTCTGTCAGGGTAAGGTGTATGTAATGTAATGTCCCGCGTGATCTTAACAATTTGAGAATTGTATAAATGCAACGACGTGCATTGTATTGATTTAGAACCACGAAGTAAGCTTGTTAGAACCCCATTGCAACATAGCTAATTTTCCTGTCAACGAGACATTGGCATGCTATATTTTTGTATTTTTGTATCTCTTCGTTCTTGTATCATCATTGTATGTCGTGTTAGAGATTGATATGGTATTATTACTTATCCTATCAGACACATACTAGTGACTGAATGACGACACGTTTCCTATTATTATGCTATTTGATCGGATTTCCTCAATCAGAAATTGAATATATATAAAAAAAAAATTGTCGTCCATGGCGGCTCCAACAGCACTTGCCGAAACGGCAACGCACTGATAATTCCTTGTCGATAGGTAGTACTGAGAGATGACTAAACACACATATTCATCCACCAATTAAATGGCACGGTTTATTGCACCTCACAATGTATTAAAGAGGAAAGTTTAAAAAAAAAACACAAAATCCTCAGATACATTTTGAACAAATAGACACAATAATGACGAAAACCGGATGATTGGCAAATAAGATTGGCCATCTGATCAATAATAGTTTAAGGAACTAGGTATGCACCAGACAAGCGCCGATATGTTGTTATTATATTGAAAAATACGAGGCCTACATTACCGATATTACAGAAAAGATGAAGTCGGCACACCAAAATTGAGTTTGAGATAATTAAACTGACACCTTGAATATATCCGATCTCCAAAGGTCTCAAATTCTGTTATCAATTGAGTGAATTAAGATATTCAAGTTTTGAAAAATATATTTATCACCACAGAATCAGGATATTTATCAACACAGAATCAGGAAACCAATATGAGTCGTGCATATTTCTTTTATATTATAATTATCAGAAATCGAATTATCAGAAAGTGGGAAATATTTGCCGTTTAAAAAATCGGCATCAGCAAATTTTGCGAAGTCGCTGTCAGCAAGTACAATATAGATATGCATGTGAACTAATACAATGAACTTTTATAAAGGAATTTGAAGTTTACAGATAATAGATTTCTTGTACATTGATAAATAGCGGGGAAGAAACATCAACTATTATAAATTAACCATCTTCATCTTGTTGAAAATTGCTGATAGGTTGTCTGACATTTATCCGAACATCGTACCGTTGATCTAATCCAAGATACGAATCCGAGACCAGCCAGACAGAATAAACTTTCCTGTAATTAAAATTTTAAAATATAGAAAACCATATTTAATAAAGTGTGTTAAACAAATACGGTATACATTGCTAATAAATAACCCATTTTCTGATCATAAACACTGATAGAGAGAGAAAATGATTTATTTCTAAATATGTTATCGAAGTACACATTGCAGTAAAAAGAATGGAATAGTAATCATAAAATTTAGGGGGAAAGGAAAGACTGGAAGGTCAACAAGGTCGACCGACCCAACAAATGTCACTACCTGATGAATAAATTCATTAGTTATATCAAACCGTGTGAAACGTTTGCGATTTTATTCAAGTTGGGAAAGGTCAAATGACGCAAGAGAATGTAAATTGTATGTTTCTCCTTCAACAATGAGAAATGACTATTAAATTAGTATTTATTTACCTGTGCAATTCAGGTATATAATTGGCATTTATTTGAGGGAAGGGTATTGGTATTATCTAACAAACTTGGGAGATAGTGGAAATGTTCAGAATTTTATGAATCAAAATAGAGAAGAGGTACAATTTATTCGTGGTAAATAAACTAGTCGGGGTATTTCGCATTTCGAAAAGGGTTTACAGCAATAATTAACTGCTAGTGTATAATGTGATAATATTCAGAAGATATCCAGAACTGCATATAAAGTTTCTTACCGTGTCAAATGTTCCAAAGACGACCGCACATACAGTATAGTATTTTATGAAATCTATAACGTGGCTCATCACAAGAATTGACTAATCACAACACACACAAACCATTCCTTGATATAGTTAAACAGTTAAATAAAATGGTACATAAGTGAACTTATGCAAAGTACATAGAGGCTTTATCACTAGACTCACTACCCAGATTCCAAAATGTCAAGAAACAGTGAAAAATAGTTGTACCATATTCTGAAAAGTGATGATTTCAATTTTTCTTCTTTAATTTATTTTGCTAATTATTTTATCATGAAATGCGAGAACCACAGGCTGTGTGCGAGACAACCCAACAAATTATAGCCAAGTACTTACTACAAAGCCCCTTTGAACACGTGGGCGTAATTGGGCACGAATGGCCAATATCATTCAGTGTCACTAGTCCGTATAACAATTCATGACAAAGTTATGTTTTGTATTTTCAATAAAATCATTCACAAACCTTTCAATATTGTCAGGATAAAATGACAGAAGTTCTGTAGTTCTGTTTCGTAACGTCTGTACTCTCTTTAGTGCGATAACTTCTTTCCGTTCTACGTCAGCGAGCAGTAAAAACCAGCCCTCTAATTTGGGTTTAGGAAAACGTGGGGTGAGGGCTTTACCATCATGCTGCGTAGGAAGATAAGGATTAGTCACTGTCTGGAGGGCACCATTTTTACAAAAGTACAATCATTCAAGAAGAAACATATTTAAATTTGGAAGAAATTCATCCCCAACTGAAACCCTGTGCTAACATGAACACTGAGCCTTGTTTTTGAGGTTAGGTCAACCATGTGTCTATAGTCTTTTTCCGGCCTCCTTTTATTTTGAATGGAAGCATATAAATGTAATGGATTAATATAAATCTATCAGCGCTTCAGAAATGTGTGTACCAATATGGAGGTAACTAACTTTGTTCGGCTATTTACATCAAATTGTGTAAATGGACGGAAGCCCATGGGCAGGGGGTATATTCACTTGGTTTAACAGAAAGAACTTGTAATAGAACTAAAATAAGGAAAATCAGAATAAAATTACGGTCCAACCCTAAACTGGTACACATACTACAGGAGTACAATCTATCAATGCTGTCATTGTAGATTAAAGATCTCATATTCATGCCACAGAAATAGGTTATAACCTAAAGGTGGTGCTCAAGTGTGCCAAGCTGACTGAAAAAATTCCTATTCCATCAAATTTCAGTACTAAACAACTCATGTAATATGTGAATAGTAAAGCAGCCAGTCACAAACAAAATCAAAGGAATGTGGCCAAATTCAATTAAAAAATTTGATCAATTTCAACAACTAAATATGTGGATATCATTGGAACTCACATGTCCCTTGTTTAATCTTGCTAGAGAAACTGCAACGTGATATTCTTGATTCATATGAACATCAATCCACGTCTTACGATTTTGTATCCCAACACCTGTATGGAAAAAAGCATTAAAAGTTTCTCAATCCTTCACAAGCTTCAAAACAACTTTCATTGGCTTCTAAAATCATTCAACTTTAACCCCTAACTTGATAAAAACCGTAGAAAACCATATGTTATGTATTTTATACAATAAAACAAGCTGAGTTTTCAGGCATGAAATGCAATGTCATCAACAAAATAAGTGGAATCTCATTATTTGCAAACACTGACAACATTACAAATTCTTTTTTCTTTACAAAATTAATATTTTATTTAGATTTGTGTGGGAATGGTTTTATGGTCCCAATACCCATTTGCATATCTTCCCATTCAGAGGTCGTATTGGGCTGATATATTTGAAAGCTGATTTAATTTTAAGGGCAGCTACACAAGAAGTGCAATGTTTACGTGAAGACTTATTATAGACTTTTCTTATAAAAATCCCGAAACTCTAATGAAAAGTGTGCCAAGATTATAGTGTTGAAAGTATAAATATGTACAATGTACATACAACTAAAAACCAAGCAAATGAGAAATATGAGCTAGGAGAACAGAAACTGTATATAAAAAAGACTGTTAAAGACAGTCGAAGTAACTCGGGTTGTCGGATGATCAAGTCGACTGACTGGTAGGAGCAAATGATTCAAAATACTTCCATACCATGAACATCTGGAACAATCTTTTGTTTTATTTTCTCGTTCTTCTCCCAACTTCCTTTTACATGTAACTTTACATCAACAACAGGCAGATTTCTCAAATGATCACAAATCTAAAAAAAAAATTTAAAATGGTAAGGTAAAGTTTAGGATAGAAACAATATCGACGAGGTCATGGGTGTGATAGTATAGCGGTTGATGCGTTAGACTAAACCACGTTGGTATTGCATGTTAGACATGTCAAATTCTCATATCCCATGGTGTAATATTTTGCTTAGACAATGCCAACGATTCCAATCATTCCAAAAGTAGTAGCTTTTCACATATCGCCAGATAATAGTGGACACTTGCACAGGGCCTTGTTCAAAACAGAAGAAGTAAATAAGCACTGTATGAAAATATTCAAAAAATTATTATTCCATGATATCGCTTGAATAACAGGATGACGAAATTTGAGACAAAACACATGATAAAACTAAATTAAGTGGGACGAAATTTAGAAATTTAAGTTTTATTTTACTATTCCTTATTCCCATCTATTTTGAGGAAATGTTTGTATTACTTTTGGGAATAGTTAGTCAATTATTTTTTTTGGACTTGTTATTTTTTAAGCATGGACTTGATGGCGGAGGAAGCCGTAACCGACCAGCAGTTACGTGAACCACCCTACGGCGGTGAGGAGTCCAGCAATCCTGTCGCACATAGCCCTACCCCATGGGATTCGAACATGCGAACCCATGCAGGGTAATCAGAGGTGTGATGGCGAGCGTATTCCTAACGCTTAGCACGATGCGCCACACAGCCTGGCCAAATTATATAAATTTGGACGACACTACAACACTTGTCTACTGCCACCATTTGACAACTGCCAACGATGGGAAGTGATCATATATCAAAAAAGTAACCTTTTTAGCTTGAGCTTCAGTAAAATGCTTCATCAGAACATCTTTAACGTAACTTGGATTTTCTTTGCATAATGACATTAGTTCAGGCAAGTGTCGAACTTGATTTCCTCTAAATGAGAACTGCCTGAAATATCAATATAATTCATCAGAGAAAGAAAACATGAAATAGCATGAATCTTGTATATCATTTTGACTATCTGCCTATGCACTATGTCCATCCAAACACACTATTTACTTAACATTACCAAGGTACCACTAACAGAATAGATTCGGTTGACTAAGTCAAACTAAAAATTGATCGGACAAACGGTACTTGTACATCCAAACATATACCGTAGGTGGTTATTTGCTTGATATAGGGTTTCTCAAACTGTGTTCTGCCCTGTGAGAGGTTTTCATGGGTAGACTAAGTCAAACTAAAAAATTGTGACCGGACTAACGGAACTTGTACATTCAAACACATAAGTGATTATTTGATTAAGGTAGGGTTTCTCAAACTGTGCCCTTTGACATGGAGAGGTTCTAATGGGGCTAATAACAATAGTCATAACTCGTATCATTCGCGATGACATTAATTTAAAGTAAAATAACAGTGAATTGTTTTATTTTTCGATTGTATTCAAGTCTTTTGTTGGACATTAATTTTTGAACAGGGCAAATAAAATAACTGACAGAAACCCGTTGAAACAAAACTATTTTTTAATGGAAAAGCAGGGCCATACCATAGAGTGTTGAGACTTATTGGAAGGGAGCCACAGATCATGAAAGTTTAAGAACCAGTTGCATTAAGTCTTTCTTGCAAACCAAATTTTCCATTTCTATATATAAGCGTATGTTAAGTCTAGTTCCAGAGTGTAGATTACAACACTTCAAAACTAATAACAACCTTCCACATTTTCCATGCTGTTAAAAGTATATGGAACTGTAAAAAACTTACTTGAAAACAAACAGACTTTTTTCTTCCACATATGGAAGAGTCAACAATGTTGAACGATTATCAAACCATATTCCTTGTGCAACCATCTGTGCCATATGCATAACACGAAGAGTTGTAATCAGCATTCCTTCATCCGCACTGATATCAATCATACCCTGTGTTTAAAGCGGATACAAGATAATACAATACTATTGATGCCGAGCATTCCACAAAATATTCTTTAATATGTGCAGCTAGTCAGTTACCTTTACAAAATAACATTAGCAAATTTTAATTTGACTGTATACAAGTCAATTTGATTTGTGAATTCCAGATGAAATCAGCATCGTGTCGAATTACTATTGACATGAAAGAAAATTGGATAGCAGCGTTAAAAAAACTTTCAGAAATTCGGGATGCCCGAACTACCAAAACCACCAAGTATTATTTTTCAATAGGAGAGAAAGAATGAAAACCAATGAGGCAGCTCAACTATTATGGTGAACCGCATGCATGGACAAGGTCATAAACCAACCAGCAAATATGCAAATCACACTACATTTGTACGAATTCCAGCAATTGTCTAAGACGTAAGTAAACCATCCTTCCAGACGCTACAATAGGTCCTCTCAACTAGACTGTCGGCCCTCTAGGAGTGATTCTCAGAGGGACATGAACAAATCCTTTTACTAGTAGCGATAACTCCATTAATTTAAAGTAAATTGACTTCGATTAATTTAATCCCCTGACTGATGCTTCCATACTTTTGCTTTCATCCGAAAAAAAACACGCATAGAATAACTGATGGAAACATGCCAAATTCAAAACTAGGAACTCTATAGATGTGCAGGGGGCCACGGGTTGTGAAAAAAAACATTGCGCTGAAATCTGTCATGTACTTGATAACGCTCAAAACAATGCAACTGTCGATGAGCAAAGCTATTTTTTCTTCAAATTCTACCTGCAATATCCTGAAAGCTTGATCAAGAACAGATTTCAAGTCAGTTGCATAATCAGATGAAGGCATCTTTATTCTAGAAAAATGTGCTTGGAACAGAAGATGTGCTTTGGTACTTGATGATCCAAATGAATCTGGACTGACTTGAAGCGGTAAATGTTCTGATAAGTTTCTGAATAAAATAAATTGTTGATCTTAAATGCGAGCTACAAAATCATAAGAAACGATTTGCTTCATCTTATTACTATGCAATAGTGGATTCGTATGTATATAATGCAAAGAGCTGTAGATGTCTATTCAAAGAAATTTAAATATTGCACACACAAAAATGTTTTTCTGCAAGGTTACAAATTGGAAATATTTTCTGATAGAAATAGAAGTTTCTATACCAAACCTAACCAAATTTCTTTAAAGAAATGATTGAATTGGATTAGATAGGTAAATAAGATTAGTTTTTAAAAAATGGTAAATATAAAAACATTGTGTTTCCAGAAATACTTGGATTGTTGATTTGTTGGAGATTTGCAGTCTAATTTATTCATACTCAAACTCATACATGAAAATATTTATAGTCAGAGTATTATTGGCTTACAAGAAGACAAAAAGGTAATTAGTTGATCGTGACATTATGAATCTGAAACCTCTGATTATTAGACAATGATTGGGACACAAGGTTGCATTTTGAAATACCAAGTTCAGCAAAGGGGTGTGTATATTGATGATTGAGCAAAAAAATAGTGCAATAATTCTAGTAAAATAATATATGAACCCCTATTTTTTATCTTACTTATTAATAATATCTTCGTTATGTCTGACGGGAAGTTCATTGTATTCCTGACATTCAGTTAATAATTGTAATATATCAGGTATTGTTGAACCTGACTTCATTTCTTGACAAAGCATCCTGCATATAGAGAAATTTTGATGTAATAAGATACAATATTATGAAAATTCCACAATTAGAAGGGTTTACATATTTATCCATCGGGAGATCTCAAGGGATCTCAATTATATGGTGAACCACAGCCTTTGTTTTGTAAGAGAATATTCAGTCAGTTTTTATTTTAGATCAGGGGTGAGCAATTACTTTACTGAGTGGGCCAGTTACAGAAAATAAACTTTGTTACTGGGCTGGAGGCTTAAAACTCATGAAAAACTATGAATAAAAACAGTTTATTTACAAACGCTAGTCCAACAGCTAGGCTAGCATTTACATAATAATAAGAAGCATGGTGTAACAATCGGGGTCATTATGACGTTATTTTCAACAAAAATTTATATTCATAAATACTATAGTCGTAATTTCAGCAGACACAAATGGGCCAAAGAAAACACTTCGGTGGGCTGGATCCGGCCCGCTGGCCGTAATTTGCCCACTGCTGTTCTAGATGTATGGATTTGACGCAATTACGAAGGCTTTCAGAATATATGATACGAATATCACAGAAGTGATAAAAGATAGTGATTTGATAAAAAAAAAAAGATTCATTTAGTCACAAATGTCCACATATTTGGAATAATAAATTTTATCTGCCATTAGATCTTACCTCACAGTGAGATGACTGAGATAATAATATGAAGCAATTCTTCCAATACTTGTAGGTTCGATTGTGACATCATCAACGTCATCAACAACAACACAACAAGAACGAAGTAATTCAGAAAGTTCTTTCTCGACAAGTCCAGTCAAAAACTCATTGATCATGTCTGTTTCTATAAATGATTATGAATATTTTGAATATTTGTATATACAATGTACATTCACACTTTTCGCTCAGAACGAGGCACTGTGCAAGAAGCAAGAATAATTACTAGAGTTGTTATTAACTTCATTCTCATTTGTGTCACTATAGTTAAATTTTGATTGTTTTTTATTTTACTGAGGGATAATTTTCATTCCAATTATTGAAGTGAAAATTTCTATTTTTGCAGACATAGTTTCTCGCTCTTCTTGTAGTTTTTCCCTTGCATGATGAAGTTAATGGGCTGCAGAATTTTCGTGCAATGAAAATGGGCCACAAAAGAAAAAAGGTTGAGGACCAACCGCGCTAAGCTATTGCACCAATTCGGTAAAAAAACATAAAATAAATACTGTGATTCTAAAATACTGAATTAGATTTCAAACATTATTCAAACAAATTTAAGTATGTATTCACATCTTAAAACTGAATAATATTCATGATTAGTAGTCGCTAATGAACAACTATTAAACCACCGTGAATCAGAATCTTTTAACTTGAGTAAATATATCTAATTGCATCAAATAACTACTATACACATATTTCCTTATTTTTACAAATATGGTAGTGATGTTTACCTTAATTTAACAAAACGAGAATTAACATAACAAAATGTAATACAGGGTGATAAAAAAACCTCCCACATTTTAAATTGAAATAAATTGATGGGGAGATTTTTGCCCCACCCTGTATATTATAGATTAATATATTATCTCACTATCTGTATGTGAGATGCATGTCTATGTCTGCAATGTAGCATTAAAACCATTAGTTATTTTGATGAAATATTTTTAACTGGTTACAAATTCATTAATTTTCTCAAATCATTCGAACAAAAACTGTATACATTTTTTTCAAAAGTTACACAGTTCAATTTAAAAATTTTCAATCATTTTTCAAATTTCAAGAAAATAAATAGCAATTCAAATTTTTACATAATTCAACTTTTTAATGAAAGGATTAGCTTATGAACCATAAACAACTACTGCCACAACGACTCTGACCTGCTTGTATCTTTAATTCAGTATTCTCACTGTCTGTTGATATAAGAGAGCCATGCTCAAATATGGGGGACATGAAGGTTGCGTTGCGAAGGTTGCTGGTAAGCCCTTAGCTAAGCACCACATATTCTCAAATAATGGTTTGCAAAACAAGCATCGTTATTCTTGCCACAGCATCCTTGCGTTACACGCATAAGGATCCTCTTCCACAAAGGCATAGGGCAAGGAAAGTTAGTTAGTAGTCTTGCGTAACCCCAACTGATAGTTTCAAAGCCGTAAAAAAATTATAGCATAGAAATATAGGCTCAAGCAGAATTGAATAAATCAGAGGGCATGCTAAATTAAACAAATTTTATAATTTACCACTTTTGACATACCTATTCTCTCCAGATTATAATAAGTAGGATTCATCAATAATCTTCTGAAGAAATAAGTCCAAGTTAAATAATCCAAGGCATCTTGTTTACTCATGATTGTACCGGCAACTATTTCAGCATTGAGATGGTCAGGCAAAACCTGGGATAACAAATGAACAGTATAGGAAAAGCAATAAAATCTTTGACACTGACAGAAAAAAGACAGAACACAAAAAATATACAAAACACATATCTATAGAAAGCAAAAGCCAACGTGTTTCTCGAAGCAGAAGCATTTGTATTACAAAATTTTAAACCAAATAATGATCAAATTTTTCTCAAGTGTGTACCTGCCAAAAATTTTATTTATTCATTTCACACTCATAGGTTGGTCATTAATAAGATAGTGTAAAATATGAACAAATATTTTGTTGTAGGACAATAATAAATTGCTATACTTTACTTATAATTATGAAAATTTAACGAGCAACAATACAACTTACATCCAATAAACTTGATTCAACAGGAAACGGATCATACAAGAACTTTTTATAGAAATGTTTCTTCACATCATGTACAAGAACAACTGCGACTGCATTATCATCAAATTGCGGCCTTCCTGCTCGTCCCATCATTTGAAGAACATCTGAAATAGAATTATTTTGAATGATACAGAATAGATAGCTAGCTCATGGATAGCTCTAAAATATGTGTAAAAAGTGTATGTAGTTTGACAACTGTTGAGATATAATTACCATTAAAGATACCTGACCCAAAATAGCATTCTGAAATGGGATATTTGGGTGACAGAAGCAACGTTCATTCTTACAGCAGCAGAAAGTTCGTTATTATGACGCTTTTGTTGCTTGGTAATCATGACGAATCAGGTGAATTTCCAGCCGCAAAATATCAAAAAGAAATGAATTTTTCTTTGGTGTAAGTGTCAAGGATCCTATAACTGTTGCCAGCTAAAATTTGCGTTTTCGACACACTATTGCTGCATAATTGGATTGTAAACGCCCTTACCAATGACAGTACAATGAGCGAACGATGGGTGACTACATATTGGGCCCATTCTTGGAATCGACTTGGACTATAGTTAGAAATTCAGAAATTCATTTTTTGATTAATTTTAATTCGTTTTAGTCGCGAAAAAAATGTTTAGAATAAGTATAAATTTCTTCAAGATTTCTCACATAAAATACAAAAAACACATCTCTGGAATATTGAAAACACTAAAAAATAGCACCAGACTATTATAATAAAGTTTTATGCTGTTTCATATCACAAAAACCTGATCTGGGGGAATACAAAACGTAGTTGCCTGTATTAGACTAGTACATTTACCTAGCACATACAAGAATAATTTTGAATGGATAGTGGAACCTAATCAATTCTTGGTTTAATTTTAGCCAAATTAGATATAGGGAGTCGGTTTGAATCGGCGAGCTGAATATATTTCTCACCTGTGATAGGAAAGTCAACATATCTTTTAGTTTTTCCATCAAAGTATTCAGTTCCTTTCACAATGACAAGATGAGCTGGAAAATTTACTCCCCACGCAACTGTTGCTGTGGCAACAAGGATCTAAAACAAAAAAAATTCAAAATTTTTTCATTCAAACACAGAAGATGGAATGAAAAAACAAAAAAAGTATATTATAGAAAAATAATCAAAGAGTAATTTGGAATATGCTGTGTATTTCACTACAGTGCAGTTTTAAATTAAGCAAACAGAGCATTTATGCAAAAAATAATGACACAATATTTGATAGATATTCCCATTTTGAATAATCACAACATTTAACAAAAGTTAACAATTTACTTGAATTTTTTGGTTAACAAACAACTCTTCCACCAATGTTCTGTCTTTTTCAACTAATCCAGCATGATGAAGTCCGATACCAAATGCGAGTGTTAATCTCAGATTATTATCTTGAACATTTCTTGTTAATTCTTCCATCTAAAAATATTAGACACGAGTTTGATAATTGTAAATTGTAATGTAAAGCCACAATGGACCTAACTACATTGGCAACTGACGTTGAAGATCTCTTGTTCTTAGGCAAGCACTGCCGAACTGTAAAATTTCTGGCTCTTTAAAAATAAAGCGACATTTTAGGACTAGGGTGGAAGTATACAGTTTGTTAAATGCATATTTTTTAATTGAAGAATTTCCTTCGCCATTTTTTTTCTTCAAATAACTTGAAGAAATTTTTCATATGTATTTGAGTATGATAGTAAAAAATTTCTATTCAATTCACAAGTCTTAACGTTATTTAAAAATGTGGGCGCTCCAGAAGTGTATGTACCAATATGGAGACAACTAATTTTGTTCGCCTAATAGTTCAGCAATATTTTTATAGGATAGGATAGGATTTACATATTTATCACAGGGGAGAAAAAAAACGATAAGACGGCTTAACCATATGGCGAACCACGGCCTCTCGTTCGGTTACCATTCCAAGTTAGGTATGGAATAAGTTAGTTATTTGTTTTCGGAAGCATGGACTTGATGACCGAGGAAGCCGTAACCGATGAGCAGTTACGTGAACCACCCTACAGTGTGTGCGGTGGCGAGCGTATTCCTAACGCTTAGATCTCACATTTTTCTACTCCCAGTTTGGTTATCTAGATCTAGATAATAAAAAAAGGCTGCAATCAATTTTCAGTGCACACTGAATTTCAAATGTCCCTACCTGCCATTCATCCATATGTAACCATTGTTTCGGGTCATCTTCAGCAGCGAGGTATGCGATCAAATCCAAAGCAGTGAGACGAGTTTGTCGACGTGATGCAACAAATATTAAAACTGGTTTGGCTGGAGAATGAGTCCTAATGGCTACAGGAGATAAACGCAAATTATTACATTTAATCAAAGAATTGAGCAGCTCAATTTTGTTTTCAATGTGAACGTGTAAAATATTGTCTAAGTCACTTCTCCAATAAAACCTTGGAAGAACATAAAAAAAATCAAATAATAATTCCAAATCTAATAATAAGTTCCGAAACAAAAAAACAAACTTCATGGTAAAATTGCAACACTTCTAAACAGTTTTAGTTCTTACCTTGAAAACATGGTTTGTTCATAGAAGCCATTCTTGGGCAATAATGTTTCCCTGCAAATCCTTGTATATGAACTTCCATTGGTACGGGACGGACAGAAGGTCGGAAGTTGAATAAGCCAAGCTAATTAGAGAAATGAAGATGGTAATTAGTATATAATAAGAGAACAATGCTCACATATATATATGGACGGCCAAACAAAGTAGTATGAGTATATAATCTATTACAGTAGACTACCGATACCTAAGTCTTCCAGACTTCACCTTACCACCAGATAGCAACGAAAGCGAATGCGAACACGGAACAAGATGCCCAATTTTCGATTTTGTCATGGCACACAAAAAAACGAATTTCATAGAGCTCACAGATTGAAATGAATAAAAGTATTAGCCCTCACGCAACAACAACAATATTTAGGCACTGATAATTTTTAAATTTTTTTAAATTTAAAATTTTTTTAATTAATTTTGGTCCAGTAGTTGAAGAGAAAGGTGATTTTTTACACCAACAACAACAAGAACAAGAAAAAGAGTCTTGTCAATTACAACATGACACCAAAACGATTTACAGATATACTTTGTGTCAAAAATATGTGTAATTAACATCACCTTACATTGGAGCTATAAGAGGAAAACTATCATAATTAACATTCAACAAGTTAGAGCCAATCTGGTTGAAAGAAATATATTATCAGAAAATTCGATTTTTTTTTTTTAAAAAAGCTTGAAGATATGGACTGGCAAGTCACACTTGTCATTAGACCTCAATATAACCTCATTACATAGCTATACAATTTACCCAAGATTTGAGAGACATTTTAGGGTTCATTACGAAATACAACCAGCATTTACTTGAAAAAAAAGTGTCAAAATAGTGTGCATAATATCTCATTCACTGGGATAATTTATTCAGGATTTTAATGCAGGTTGAATTTTGTTTAGACCTGGGTAATGTCACCCAATCCATGTGGCGAGTTGTAAAACATAGATCCCCAATTATGTAACAAAAATCAAAATCATCACATTTTTTTTTACCTGTTTGATTCCCAACCAATCAGCTAAATCTCTTGCATTAGCCAATGCAGTAGATAAACCGACAATTCTAACAAGTCTATCAGTATGAGATGATATGAAGTTAGTTCGCGACACGATCACTTCCAAAACTGGCCCTCGATCCTCACCTGAGAAAATGGATATATTTTTAAGAATCTTCATAAATTGGTTGGCTTGGAGGTTGGCGCAACGCGATGATCAGTGGCGCAACCAGCGGGGGGGGTACGGGGGTCGTGTCCCACCCGTTTGAAATTGTTTTTTTTTATTATTGTTCTATGTTCAAACAACAACGTTCTACGGTCATAACAATCCGGTGAAAACTACTTTTTTTCCAGTGCTTTATCCCCTCGACGTAATTTAACACCGCCCGACTTCAATCATACTTTTTTGCTGTTAGTTACGTAATAATCGCTATCCCCGCGTATATGTTTGTATTCGAAAATGAGATATGTTACCTCAAAAAAGTAGAAATTGCGCGCTGTCGATGCGAATTGAAAGCGACAATAGCATAATGCTATCTCTCTCTCTTGTGACGAATACTCTCGTGCTTCATCATCTTGACGCAATGTAACGGCGCCCGTCTTCATGTTATAATAATGCAGTAGAAACTCTGAAAATCTGGATACAAAAATTATTTTCGGAAAAATATTGCTTCGATTAACCTAAGATTTTCTACATATGAAAGGCCGAAAACCGAAAACGTCGTACACATCCTACCGCCCCCGTCCACATTCTGATTTGAAAACATTTCACATTTATTTCATTTTTTATCCAATCGAAAGCAGCCATGTGTAACTAACAGTCGTCGTGAAAGGTTGTCAATAAAATCCGACTTGAAGTGCTTATAAGACGTCGAGGACGTTTTTGGTTGAAAATTTTTTACATTTGATATCGTATATTTCAATTTAGTCAAGATATGTTGTGCGCTTCGGCAATAAACTTGAAAGCAAATCCTGCCCTAATTAATTGTTTTCATCCTCAGTTTCGATAGTTATCGAACTTAACGGGAAATTTTTTAATTTCTTGCATCTATAAAATAGCTTCTAAATATTATTTGGTTTTTATCGGGGATTTTATCGTTATCCCGACGTCGCTGATAACAATATCGTTCATTTTAAGTTGGAGGTACTGGTTTATAATCAAAAAATTATAACACATAACATGAAAAATTTAAATCAACGCCAACTCAAAAAGTAAAACACGTTTTTCCATCTTTATTCTCCATTATTGGCGGACGAAAATTTGGGAATCGGGTTTAACTAATTTGATTATGATGACGATGGTAAACAAAAGTACACAAACATACCATACCGTTCTTAGTTTTTAGTCGTTATTTCTCTGTCCTTTCTTCTTTCTATGTGCATATTAAGACCATAAAACGTGTTTTATTTTTGAACTCTGCGCTGATTTGAATATTTCATGTCGGCTGTTATGTATTTTTGTTTGTAAATGAATACCGCTAACTTAAACTGAACGATGTTGTCATCAACGCCGGATGCCGACGAAATCCGCGATAGATATCAAATACTATATTTAGGAGCTATTTTATACGCACTAAATTACAAGAAATGAAAAAATTTCCTGTTATGTTCGGTCACTATTGAAACTGAGGATGAAAACAACTAATTAAGACACAATTTGCCGAGGACGCCTAAACCATCTCGACTAAGTTAAAATACACAATAAGAAAATATTTTCAATTGTAATATATTGCCGAACCACACATGGACGACGACGCTAGGATATGTGCGCCATATTCTGGATTATAATAAACACGAAAAAACAGTATTTGAAGTTTGCGATATTTGAATTTAAATTCGATTTGGACATCCCTGCATTAAATTAGTCAGTTTTTAGTTGTGTTTCCAGAAATTAGTTGTAAATCAATTATTTTAATTGTCATTATGTCTTCCGGTGAGCTTCAGTTTAGTTTAGAATTTTTCTGGGGTTAGGGTCGGGAAAAGGTCCATTCGCAAGAAGTGCATTTTGTTTTTAGACTTGACGAATTCACCCAACGAGCAAGGCGCGGCACGAGGGAAACACTGGAATTTATTCAAGCCGTGTTTCACTATCCACGAGGCGCAAAGCGAGGGAAACGTTGAAAATAATTAACAGCTTTTCGTTAGCAATTCGCTGGAATGTAATTAACGGCGTTTTACTACCCACGAGGTGCAAGACATAGCGAAGCGCCGTTAATGAACGAGTGCAAGGTAAGCAAAAGGCTGGGATATAATCGATGGCGTTTCCCTTTTAACCACGAGCAATTTATCGTGTTTCAGCGGGGCGACACCTAGTGGCGTTGCAACTTACGCCGTGGTTGCACTGTGTAAATTCCGGTCGGACCCCCCTGTTGAAAACGGCCTGGTTGCGCCACTGGCGATGATCAGAGGGTGGCACATCGTTGTAGGCATTAAAAACACACTTTCCATTTAATTACTCCGAGAAGATTTGAATCCTTTGAAGGATAATTATATATGTGCGAGCGGATTGATTGACTCCTCGCTGCCGTATGGTATTTCGTGAAACGCTGGTTGGTTACGGCTTCCTCCGCCATCAAGTCTATGCATCCAAAACAAATACCTGGTAAACAGTTTTCAAATCTGACATGGAATGGTAACCGGACGAGAGGTCGTAGTTCGCCATGTGAATAAATTGTCTTATTGGCTTTTTTTGCCCTGGGATAAATATGAAAATCCCTAAATTTTTACTTTTATACAGCTGGTTGCCCAATCGAAGTTGTTAACTGTGAAAACACATAATAAACCTCAAGTTATATCTGTCAAATACTAACCCAGTAAGTGAATCTCATCAATGATGATGAGAGAAACACTTTTGACATAATTTCTGGTTTGCCAACTACGTGAGATACCATCCCACTTCTCTGGCGTTGTCACAATTATATCAGCTCGTGCCACAGCACGCATGTCAGGTGCCACATCGCCAGTCAACTCAACAATTCTGAAAATAAATACATAAGGACGTGTAACAAATGGTTAGTTTGTTCAGGGCTGGATAAAACCGAATATTTCGCTATTTCGAATACATTCACGAAAACTATTAAATATGGAATATCGAATACATTCTAAATTGGGGGCAAGTTCCTGTGGAAAATTAAATAAATCATGTTGATCACATCTTGAACGACCTGAATATAAAGGTCATTGTTTTTTCTGTGTTATCAGTTGAGATATCGTACATTTTGATCGGTTTGTCTGGCAGCGCAAAATATCTACCGTTAATTTTCAAATAAATTTAAAAAATTTCTATATCGAATATAATGAAATTCGAATGTATTTGAATTTTAAATTTGTTTTGGACATCACTGGTTTGTATATCTGGATATTGTAAATCTGAGATTGAAAAATCAGGAACAGGCGATTTTATGCTATAAATATTGGGCACGAGGTTGACCTATGAATAATAGTTTTGATATATTGTGGTATTGTTTTTGCTGAAAAAAAATAGCTTATTTTCTTTAATAACTGAACCAAAAGTTTTAAAATTTTCAGTAGTCATGTCTCCCATAATACTAATATAATTTATAATATTTAAAATTCAAATTTATGTATTAGAAAATAATAACTAATAAATATCATAATGAAATTATAGTTTTTCATGGCTCGCTAGAGCGCATGTCATTATTAGCCCAGAAAAGCAGCTTTTTTTTAAAAAAAAATTGATTTTCCGAAGATTTCTGTTGTGTAGGACACTTTGCATGAGAGTCTGTTCTAAAATATAAACATGTTCCAAATGACCTGGGTTTGGTTTTTGGGTCCCCCTGCATAACAGTATATAATTCAATAGGCTATATAACGTAGAACTTACGTTTTCCCTAATCTGTCACCAAATCTCAGTTTCCAGTCCGAGATTCTTTCTCTGACAAGTGCTTTCATTGGAGCAATATAAACTGCTTTTGATTTAGGTTGTGTGTTGAACATTCTCAATATTGCTAATTCAGCAGCAACAGTTTTACCAGATCCAGTCGGAGCTCCTAAAAAAGAAAATTACAAAAATAATTTACAAGAATGCTTTGTGACTGCTTTTGTCCATAACAATCCCATGTTCAAAACTAGTTAATAACAGAGCTATCAACCAGTTTTGACCAATAATAATGTTCCCCTTTAAATTTCCTGTTTAAATACTTCCATTAACATACTCATGCCTCGAGTATTTTTCTCTTGCGATCCTCGAGATCATTTTAGTCTGTTTTACTTCTTGTTGCATTGAGTCTAATTTCTTGTTTTTGTTCAATAATGTGGCATGTATATAGAGATGAATGTGGAAACTACAATTTATATCAACCTATGTCCTATACCTATATCTTCATACAGTTAAGAAAAACAAAAACCTAAATTCGAACCAAATAGTTAGACAGAAATTACAAAACTTGCTGTTATTATGATTGATATTATGAGATGGTTATGAACAAACCCAATAGTATCATTCAATAATGAAATTGATTAATAACATGGCACTGTGGATTAGCTAAATCCTATTATATGGGTATGAACATCCATAACTACAGCACATAATAAAGTTTGGTAAAATAAATGAGATCAAGCAAATAAAGATATAATTTTATTTTTGTTCTACTCACATAACCTACCTATGAGGGCATTGCAGTCATTGTGATACAAACAATGAAATATTTGAGTTTGGATTGGATTGAAATGGGTGAATTTATACAAACAACGATATTCTTCCTTTAGAGCAGCAGTAGGAAGAGGTTCTAAGTCAAGCAGCTCTGTGAAAGAAATAATAATATATTGGGAGTTAGAACATTATTTTTATTAGATATTTGAATGAGAGCAACCAGAATATTTATTGTCATCTTTTGAAAAACTATTCAGATACCTAAACAAGTACTATACCAATGTTTATCTATATTTGGAATGGTAGATTCAGCTGTTAATACAAAGTATAAGGTTCTATTCTGGAAGAGAAAGAAAGTTAAAGTAAATTACTAGATCAAAATATGAAATGAGAAGACAAATACAATTCAAGTTTGTAAGCTGGAAACATTTATTATTCCTATTGTTGTTTTATGATATATAGAAACAATTTCTTCTTCCACTGAGCGATGTAAGCTAAGACATTTTCAGTATCAGTGTTCACCCTCCATGTCTATAAACATGAGCATTGCTCTCCTGTTTTTATCCATATATCACCTGTATGGGGTGGATGTCTATCTGGTAATATCAAATGTTGAAATGATATTGGACAAATTGCAGAAGCTCCCAACCATCTATCTGATTCTGCATGAACCATATATTGCGATGGAACTGGTTCAACTATTGGAATAGTAAAGACAAGTTGTTGTTCTTCAGCATTCTCAACCTGTTGCAAATTACATAGATTGCCATAAGGTACATACAGCAAAATAAGTCAAGACCATGTTCGGAAAGTTTGCTCCACAAAAGCCATGAGTACGCTTATTTTAAGTAAAATGCAGGCGAAACTACCAAGATTACATAAGCTTTAAAAATTTCTTTATTTTCACAAATGTTTGAAATTTGAGTGTGAGTGTTATTTAATGGAAATGCAGATGAAAATTTAAAAATGCAGATATTTGAAAAAATTTAGAAAACATGAATATCATGAACTCGAATATGTAAATAATCGAAGCCAACATCACTATTTTATGGAATTTGCTACTAATGAGTCAAATCTTTATAACGAATTAATTTAGAATATTCAAAAATAAACGAAAGAGTCTCATAGTAAGTATTGATATATGATCATGTCATGTTATTACTATAAATCATGTGAGTAAGTAATGTTACAGTACCAACCATATCATGATGGTTTAAGTACTAGAACAGTGGTTCCCAAACGGTGGGGCATGTGTACAATTTTTTGAGAGGGCGTGAAGCTAATTAAAAACAAATTATTTTTTAGATTCGATCTTGCCCGCCTTATTTTGGATATTTACGTTCCATCCACGTATTTTCAACGTGTATTTTGAATAAAACATACCTTCGCCTTCCTATCTGTTCTTAGTAGTTTATTGTTTGTAGCTAGTTATTTTTGAGGTGGGGCACTTGAATTGACAAATTCTAAAAAGGGGCACGGCTCAAAAAGTTGGAGAGCCACTGTCCACTGTACCAGAACAAGTTGATTTAAATACTAGTACAACTCATTTGTTCTACATGAAAAAATCTTTCAAGAACACTTTGATGTATGACGGTATAAGCATAACCATATGAATAAAACAATAACTAACAGAAAATAGTATTTAGGAAATTTCAATAATAAAGATAAAATAATCTTCAATCTGAAATGAATCAAATGACTTACATGCTTCATATGTAAAATAAAATATTCACTGTGATACATCATGTTGGTCTCAGGATCTTCAACCCAAATCCACCAAGGTTCTCCTGTTGTTCCATGAACCTGCAATTAATAATAATTAACTTCAAAAAATGATACAAGCGTATATAGTTATGGTTGCAAGTGAACACATAATAGAGTAATAGTCAAAACTGTCTAAAGCTTAAAGAAACAAAAGGCAGTGTATAACCTTTGAGATATTTCTTGTTGATATAGCTTCTGGCACCTATCCATTGTAATTTCCATTCACCACACTATATCTACCGGTAATTGGCAAGTAGCGCTTATAAAAAAATTTTCTCCTCTCCCTCAGGACATTGAATAATAAAATCCATCTCATTTTCTAGATTCAAGACATCAGTGTTGAGACAGAGGACAACAGGGAGTCAACAAGATCAGCTAAAGATGCCTTGTTGCTTTGGCGACAGATGAATCCAAAATCAGAAAGTCAAAAGAATATTGACGTCAACATTAAAACTTCACAAAGGTTCCAATGCAAAGCACAGTCTGCCATTTTATTAGAGATATAGAATACAGCTTTCTTGCATTATATTTATATACATACGTATTCACTATAGCGAAATCATGAAAAAGGGTAAGTGGATAGTTTCACATAACCCATAACCGATAGTTAATTTGAATTTTGAAATTTACTTTTCTATGCCATTTGAACCTAGGAATGATGGTAAGACGAATTCTGAGAACAGATCTTGTGATTGGTTGAATTGTTGTCTCAAGTTCAATCGCTGGAAATTCTTTAACACACATTTTTACAGTTGTGCCAATACGAGGATGACGAAGCATGTGACCTGAAATTAAAAACATTATTCCATAATAATACTCCAAAACGACTATTCTTGAATGAGATCGAATCTGAGAGGGTCAAACTGGAAAAATTTACTGTCCTGTCATGAACGACAGTGGTTCAGACATTAAGTGTTACACTCCCAAGGATCTCGGAAATTAAAAAAACACTTTTGGGTTATTCTATGACACAATGGCATAATCGCAAAACTACCAAAATCACTTCATTGAATTAGAAATATTTTAATGCATAAGATAAAAAAATAATTTTGAGGTTATTTAAATATTCAATTTAATTTGGACATCCCAAACTCAAGTAACACAGTAAATTAAAAATTAAACACACTGAAATCACAATATTTTATACATCATACATTTCATCATACTTTCCCATAAAAAATATTAAAATTGCAAAACATATTTCCAATACACTAATCTGATTGTTTCATCAATTCGTTCAAATATATCATACCAATATCATTGGCATTCATGTCTTGCATTTTATCAATTGTGAGTCGTTGTTCTTTGATTTTCCTCAACGTTTCAAATTTTAGAATCGGAAACTGTTGAAGTGGAGATTCATCAGGCCACATTCTACGATCAACACATTTGCACAAATCAAGAAGCTTCTTTGTAAGAACTGGTTCTCCTTGCTTCACAGCAATGTCAAATAAACCTCTCACGATTCGACCAGCATTCTGAATATGAAAACAAAAATATGAAGACTTTGGTTGAAGCTTTTTTACCTATAACTTGTAGTTGTTTTAGAGCGTTCAACCAAATAAAAGCCTCCTTTTGCCATGTGTCTATTAACATCTTCAGAATGCTTGAGGTAGTGCCACGTTGGTCGCATTAGGTAGCGCTATTTCAATTTCATCACAGAGTAATTATGATACCAGGAACACAAAAAAAAAATTTTTAAATTTGAAAATGTGGCTAGACAGCCGACAAATCATGCCATGCCAGTCATCGAACATTGATTAGTTTTAGTAGGTTATAACTGCGTGAATATGTGCAAGAAAATAGTTGGACTCGTGAACTGTGGTATCATGTTCATATAACCACTAGTCATGGCCAGTTATTGCTTGCCGCACCATCCATCTATAGATATACCACACCTGACCAGACAGAATGCACTCTTATATGCTCTTCTCCTCTGTTATGACAACGATATAAAAAGCTTTTTACAGTATATTTTGCATTTATTTACAATCTCAAAGAACCCTACGAAAATACCACAAACCTGAGCAATATACATCAAATCAGATGTGAGAGAAAAACTTCTAACAGATCCACGAGATATATACGTTTGCAGAAGAATATTGACTTTACCATAGGTATTCTCAGAACCACCACCAGGTGGTATCAAACACATAGTGTCGATCAAATCATCAAGTTCTTCCAATTCATCATCTCGAAGCTGAAATTAGTCCAAAATAAAAATAAATAAGCAAATAGAAGGGAGTGCACGTTACCCTCTTCAATCCAATCAGTCTCTGAACGACCACTGCTACTACTGGTACTTTCTGGTTTGACTTTGTTACACCGTGATTGAGGTGATGGTCAAAACTGATTTCTTCAATCTGCAATGCCGATATCCAATTCTCTAACCACTAGACCAGCTATTCCAAGCAGAGGGCGCGAGGCCACATAGCCAGATAATGTATCTAAAGCACCTGATTCATCAAATATCCTATATAATATATTATCCCTGGATGAGGTGATAAGCATAGGATTTGAATCACATGGCACAAATACACAAATCGAGCAAGCGACCAAACAAAAACAATAAAGATAATTAGTATAGTATATTACCTTGATTTGTTCAAATTCACTGCATTTAGAAATCATTACAAATATGTTGGAGATTGACATTGTTGGATTGATCATTTCATTGAACAGTTCGATTGTGTTATGATTGATGTAATAATGAGAAGCAGTTCTTCCCATATCCGTAGAATTGAAATAACCTAAAATGTAAATAACATGTTGTGTAAATTTTGCTTGCATTTCTCTGAATCCACAAAAAGCAGTTCCATTCAATCTACCCATAAACTTTACCTGTTCTCTCAGTAAATCTTGTCATTTTAGCTTTTGCAAGATTTTTTCCTGCATTGACAATCAGTTCAGATCTCCATCTTTCAAGTAATGGATCTTGCTGTTATGAAATATAAAAAAAATTAATTAAGGTATAATATGAAAAACTTAACAGCATATTTGACAAAGCCCATAGTATTGCTTTGATAAGACAGTCCACAAGTTTATTCTATGCAATAATGTTCAAGATAACGACACAGGTCAGGCACCATGGTAAAAGAGAAACAGCAAATCAAAATCACAGCTGTGAGAAATAACTAAGAACCATACCATTTTTCAGACTATTTTATTGCACTCATTATATGTTTCATATGGCATCTGGTGAAAAAGTTTTTTGCGTCTAAGACTAATCAAAATAATTCAAGATTGTCAATTCGTGAAGTTGTATTTGACTTTGCTGCACACAGTGTTTGCGAAATAACGTTACTTTAAACCTGAGTTTGTACTCAGTTAAAAAATAATAAAACATAAAAAATAATTTGTTTTTTATTACAAAATCCCATTTTATTTCGGTCATTATATATATACACAAACTTGGCCCCACAATAGCTAGGGCTGTAACCCCGAGAACTAGAATACCACAATTCTGAAAGAAACTCTTGAATCTATGAATCCTAGCAATGAAATCTATTTAAAATGAAATACAGTCAATAACAGATAAGAACAATACATACAGCAAGTCTGTCATATGAAATTCCATAAACCAAAGGATTTTTTCTCATTCTGGTGTATAAATAAGTATAAGACAACCATTTCACACCATCTTCCACAGAATTGACCGTTCCGAGACAGATCTACAAAATGATTAACATTAGTATTTAATTAGGTAAAATTAGTGATCAATTATTTAAATAATTCAATTAATTAGATAAGCAAATTATTTTTGAGGAAATCATCGAAAACCTCATGTGATAAAATAGAATATACAATAAAACAAAGGTATATATAAAACTAGACAGCAGACGTAATCCAAAACTACTACAAAGCATACTTTACCTCAGCATTCAAGTTGTCTGTTATTTTTGCTACAAATTGACTTTCAATTGGATTTTGTCTTGTTAGTAATGCAAGGTAATGAGATAGTTTAGTATACGAGGTGATGATTGTTCCTTCTCCTGATGTATCAAACTGTGGTCGACCTGCTCGTCCAAATATCTAAAAGAAGTGAGAATTTAATAAATATGTCGAGAGCAGTTATAATACAGTAAATATAATTCTTCGGCGCTCCAGAAGTGTGTGTACCAATATGGAGGTAACTAATTTTGTTCGCATATTTTACATCATGTTGAGTAAAGAGACTGAAACCTATAGGCAAAGGGTATATTTACTTGGCTAACACAAACAGTTCCTGAACTCATAATAGAACTAAAATGAGGAAAATCGGAATAAACTCATGGCCTAACCCTAACCTGGTACACACACTACGGGAGTACACGGAAAGTATCACACTACAAACCTGCATGACATCGAGAATTCCCAAATCCACAAAAGTACCTTGCTTTGCATCGTAGATCTCTGTACCTTTGATTACGACAGCATGTGCAGGAAGATTGACTCCCCAAGCAAGTGTGGCTGTACAGCATAATACCTTGATAAAACCCTGTCATAAAAAATGGAATTCAAGAAGATGTCTGAACAATACTTTTCTCTATATCAGTGGTTCTTTTTAGGCCACGCCCCTTTTTAGAAGTTGCCAAGTCTCGCGCCCCACCTCAAAAATAACTGCTATAATATAATATCAATATAACAATATACAAATAACAGATAGTTACGCAAAAGTATGTTTTATTCAAAAAAACACGCCAAAAAATAAGGCAGGCAAGATCAAATCTAACAAATATTTTTATTTTTAATTAGCTCCATGCCTCCTCCAAAAATTGTCCACACCCCACCATTCGAGAACCACTTCTCTATATAAATACAATCCCATATAAATTTCTCTCTAACTTGGCGACATATTGTGTACTGTAGTGGTTTCCAACTGTGGAACTCACAGGTGTTCACAGAAATTGTAGTGCAGCCTTACATGCACAAGATGGAAACAAATTAAAAGATAAAACTACTCTTCATTGTGGTCCAGCTTGCATATGATGAAAACAACTCAAGGCTAAGGGGGAAGGAACATAATATCTGTCCATTTGAAAAAATTGTGTTTATCTCAAAATAGTATTCAAGTTGTTAATTGATAGTACAATGGGAGGTTTGTTCTGCTTGCAAGTATTTCAACTGTGAGAAATGTTTCAAAAAAAGTGAAATTTTATGTCATTGTCCAAATTTTTTCTTCGTCTCCCGAAGCAGTGCAGTTTTATCAGGTTCTAAAAGATTTGTGCATAACAGTATTGCTAGGATTTGCTTAGAGCAGGGGTCTAAAACTTGCGGCCCGCAGGACGTTAGTTTGTGGCCCCCGCCTTGGTATAAAAGCTTAGTGTTAGTGCGGCCCGCAAGTCACTCAGCTCAATTAGCATTTATTAATCATGATTAATACATTTATAATAAGATATGTACACGTAGGGCCAAACAAAATATTTTATCATCTATTTCTGAAAGGAATATGCGGTACGGTAACCTACCAGTACCGTACCTGTAGGCCTGATATTCGAACGTGGAACCGCCTGAAATAAGTTAATTAAAACAGTGTTCCATGATTTTTGATGTCACAATCACTAACGCTTAGATTTATATTAATACATTGTAACAATGTTTTCCATGTGATGAAACATCACTGTCCATCGGCTAAATGCTTGGTTGAAACATCAGCGCAACAGCACAGACAATTGCTAGAAAAGTGGGAAATGCAATATTTCTTTGTTGAGCATACTGGCACCCCGACATGTCTCATCTGCATAGAGAAAGTTGCAGTGAACAAGGAATACAATTCAAAACGTCATTAAATGACAAGACGTGAGGAGTATACGATATATCAGGGAGCCAAACGAGTTGCTGAGCTTTTATTGTGTAAAACCTGATGCGGCCCGGACTCACCTAGACTCTGCCCCAGCGGCCCTTGAGTAAATTGAGTTTGAGACCCCTGGTTTAGAGGAATCAATCTATAACTTGCAGGCAAATCATAACACTGAAAGGTTGGGAAGCAACGGTATAGTGTTTATCGTACTACTGTAAATGTTTCGGCATTACATGGGGTGATCGAACACGTACTACATCTTTTATCAATACCTTCCCATTATGGAGTCGAAATAAACTTATACTTATAATCATACAAGTTAGAAATCTTAATATACTATATTCATCCATTGTAAGTTGCGATGAATTAGGTAGGCTAAATTCAACTAGATAAATAAGACCTTCCAAAAACAGTATTTCCATACTTATAAGAGATAGCAAGTTTATATCATTCAGCAAAAAATTCTGAAATCCTCAATTCATATTTTTCAATTGGAATGAAAAGATAATACTAATCACTAACTTGACTAAAATTTCTTTCCACCAAATTTCTGTCGGGTCTCAACATTCCTGCATGATGAATTCCAAATCCAGATGCAAATAATTCACGAAGTTCACGATTTCTTGAATTAGACATCTAAAAATTATTAGACATGATATAATGTATCGTAATTGCGCTGTTGGACGCTTATACCTAACCATAGGCCAAGCCAGGAGACACAGAACAAAAAATGGGCACCAACGCAAGTACGATACATCATTTGTAAATTTGATAACACTGTAAATTAGGAAAATTTAAAGGTTTTGGCTTATAAGTTCTATTTCTAGGAACTCAGATCTGATAAAAATCGTCATTTTCAGTAAATTTGGAGCGAATTCGGGATTCAGGAAAATGAAATTCAGCTTATGTTATCATTATATTGCACAACAATCAGGTACGTCTGAAATAGAAATAAATATCTCGTAATCAATTTAAAATATTTCAGGATCCATTTCAATTTTTTTTCGCCTAGTCTAGTTCTATAGTAGAATTTTAAGAATGAGTGACAGGAGAAATAGGAGTCAATATCCAAACATAAACATTCTATCATAAACCTGTTTTTCCGCTTGCCCAAATCCCGACATTTGTCTACAATCAAACAATCCTGTCTCTCCATTATTTCTTGCTATTTCCAATAAAGCCTGAGCAGTTTTAACTGTAGCATTTCGAGCATGGACAAAAACCAAAACCTAAAAATAAAAAGTTTAGAATGCTACTAAACTATGGCATAGTATCTCTAGTTAGTAATACATCGATAAGAATGACACAGAATTAACAACATAGAAAAAATGAATGAATGGCACATATTACAAATCTAGTAAAAGGGAAAAACTTTAATCCCTGACATGGGCATCCCACGGGCTGTATTTTGGCACGTCAGATAGTTCAATCTGGCCTGCCTGATGATGCCACAAACAAACTAAAAACAAATGATGTTTTACCTAAAAATAGCTCAAGGAATTTGTTGAAATTGCTAATAAATTTAGTTTGGGCACGAGGCTTTTTGTTTTCCACTTTTGCTTTTGTGATACTGTAAATATTCTTCACGAAATGAACTTTTTACATCACACTCAAATGGCCCACCAGTCTAGGTGGGCAAAATTTGTGGCCCCTGATCCAAAAACCTTGACCACCCCTGTTTTATCCTGTTACTGGAAGTTAATATTAAAGTTTAAAATAGCATAAAAATTTTCAATGTTTTTAAGCACTTTATATTGCGCATTCTGGGTCACTATTGAAATATGGAAATTTTCACGGTTATCAAGAACTGGTCAATAGCGTCACAAGATGGAGGATAAAAGGAAGCTAATATGATTTAAAGCAAATAAATATCAAAATAGTTTAGTCAATATGAACAATTCGATTAATTTAGTTCTTGCGGTTAAATTGAGGCTGCAAACAGGAAATTTGCATAGGTTATTAAGCTGAAACAATGATGTATCAACTAATCACGAATATAGTAATATGATCAAACAGAAATTCCACTGTGTCGTCATTTGAAACGACTTCCTTTACGTAACTATGTCAAAATAAAATATGTAAATATTCCACAAAACCTGATGTCCTCTTTCTACATTTCTTGCAGCCTTTTCATAACAAATATTATTCATATCTTGTGCTTGTTGCATTCGATTCATTGTTTTTACACCGATGAAAGTTTGTTCCAGTGGTACTGGTCTAAATCTTCCATCAAAGTAAAATAGACCTTTGTGTCTGAAAAAAAGAAGTCCTAAATTTGAATGTGAAAATTTTCTACCATAATGTCGGGTAAATTCTCACCTTGGAAAGGTATAAACGAATTGAGCAAAATACTTGATTTGAAAAATGTTTAAAATTCCAGAGTACATACAAGGTTTGAATAATGGGAGAAAGCACTGGGAGAGTGGGAGAGATACTGAGGTTGAAAAGTCGAAATCTAATAAAATGTACCCAATTTTCGGTACTTCTATAGTGTGTGTACCGGGTTGGGGATAGGCCATAATTTTATTCCGATTTTCTTTATTTTAGTTCTATTACAAGTTCGGGACTGTCTGTATTAGCCAAGCAAATATACCCTCTGGCTCTGATCATAGATTTCAGTCCTTTTACACAACTTGATGTAAAGTAGGCGAACAAAATGAGGCCATATTGGTACACACACTTCAATTTTCTATTTAAATTAATTCAATGTCGATGCTCAATGTCTAATATAAGATTCAATGAATATATAATATATATTGATATTGAGATTCTATATAATATGACTATCAAACACCAAAAATTTGGGAGTAAATAATAATTCCCTTTGCCCCTCTTTGCCTTTCCTGTCCTAAATTTGAAGAAACTAGAGCATAAACAGTTATACTTTATATTAATGATTTGTGTTAAATTGTGACTGGATTAAATATACTGTTATATTCAGAATTTGTAAAAATAAATATCATTAGGAGGTATGATGTTTTGATATATTATCTACCAATATACATTTATGAGCGATTCCTGTTTCATAATTACTCATTGTCTTAAAACTTTCCACTTAATTACTCTGAAACGACGCGGAAGTTATGATGAATTATAATTTGCATAAGTTTAAGCAGGTGCGAGTCGATTTCTATTTACGTAAAATAAATAATCACACCACTTTTTTTGTCCTTCTTAATAAGTAAATAAACAATGCGTCATTTAAGGAAAATGGGACTAAATTCTACCATAAAATATACGGTTGCATGTCATCAACCATTATACCATCACTTTGTCAGTAGCACAGCAAAAACAAAATGTCACCATGTAGCTTTATCAATACTTTACTTTCAATAGGTGAGTTAAAATTATTTATGTCTGTTTTATCTTCATTTTTGTTCAAATATTGAATAAGTTCTACTTGTAAATGAAATGTATTTCAATTCATTGATAGTATACAGAGTGAATTTGCATTGATGTTACCTAACACAATAAGATTGAATATTAGATCTTATGTTTTTCTACAGCAATTCTGTTCAAAACTATATATGGAGAAAAATGTGAGAATATATTACTAAATAACATATACAGTAGAAAAACTCTTCTTGCTCCGGAAGAAGATTATACATGTACTTGGAACATTTCATCTGATATTGTTTCTGACAATTATGCAGTTGCTTTCACTTTTGACTATGCCAAAATGGAAAATATCTATGGTTGTAAAGCTAACTTGACACTACCAGGTAACTATGTAATTGGCAATTTAGATTACCGGTAATTGGGCTGGCATTGAAAATTACAGACCTTGTGTGGACCTCAGTGAATGGTTCATATCAATTACCGTATCATGGTAGGACATAGAACATCAAACAAAAAAGGCCAAGCTGAAATGAAGCATATACTCCTTATAATTATATCTAAGTGGAGTTTATATAAAGACTTGTTCTGATTGGAACAAAACAAAAATTTTTACAACAAAAATATGGGGGCAAGAGTTTTGAACCTCTTTGCGAGACCACCTAATATATCAAAGTGTATAAATCGCAGTATACACCTACATTATAAAAATTTAGTCTTGTTGCGTGTGGCAGGATTCTACCTCACACATTGTCTTCTGATAATAAACATTACATTTTGTCAATTCATGTTTATGTATTTTACAGGACTGAAGAGTTCATGCAAATATACTTCAGGAGATTGCATTATTTATGTGACGAAATTCACAGCGTGTAATGCAAATGAACTGCAAGTGGATCAGGAATGTAGATCAAAATCTATCATGCAGTGGACAGAAAATCCAGAAATCAGATTCACCGGAGAAAATAAGAGAGAAGGAAGATTCAAGATTAATTATATTCCTTTCTACTGCAAACAAACACAAACTACAAATGATGTCAAAATAACAAGTACAGGTTAGTCAGATAAAGCTTATGACTACTAGAAATGTCATGACAAAACAGTTTGCTGTACTAGAATTTCACCTAGATCTAAGAGCAACCATCAAACAGAAATGATAGCAAAACTTACTTTGTGATCAAATTAATGTTTTATTTTCGACCAAATTTTCATAAGATTTTCATAAAAAAACATGATTTGTGCAGTTGTTTCTAAAATCTCAATCTCAATTTTTGAAGGGACTAAAATCTTCGAACATTAACAATATTTAAATTAAGCGAATATGGAGTTATAAAAGTAATAAGTTGTGTTATTCAACATCTCGCTTGCAGTCTAATAACTTTCTATAATAAAAATTACTTAATGGTTCCAAGATGGACTTTAGGGGGGTTTAAAAAACTCGGAATTAAACTTGATAAAAACTCAGTAGTTTTTTCTATTTAATTAGGAAGCTATAGTGGTATTTCTCTTCGGGAATTTTTTGAGACAACTAAGCAACATACAGAAGAACAGACAAAAACCAATTCAGCTTTAGAAATTAATAATACACTGACTGAAAACATTGAAAATAGCATCACATTAACCACCAATGGTAAGTCCCAGCTATTAAAACAATGCTGTTTAGCTTTGTGGTATAACCCTGGTGATTAGGAAATTTTGATCATCTCTATCTACCCTTAATTTTTTTTATCTAACAGCTGCAACCTATCTCATCTATTCAGCGATGTAAAAGGGTTTAAGTAGGGTTTAAGGAAGAAATCTCTGAAACTTGAATTGTAATAAGAACAGGTTATGAGTATTGAATTGTTTTTTTCCTACACAAATCGGCTATATTAGATAATTGATTGTACTGCCAAACAGACTTAATACTGTTTGATTATTATTTCATATATTAGTATCAACCAATACAGGCCGTGGCAGATGACAATATTTAAAGTTGTAATATGAATTCATTTGCAGAGATACTGAACTATACAAATGCAACAATGGCTATTCATGTTTCACAATCTTTTGAAATTCAGCTGCTTATAGTAATAGCTCCATCTGTGCTTGGGCTAATCATTCTCTGTCTTCTAATCGGTTGCATCATACGAAGGTAAGTCAGATTTTAAAGACTCGAAAGCTGATTGTGAATTGTGATCATATTAAATGTTCAGAAAGAGATGGCAAGCAATTATGTAATTTTGGTGCCACTTATTTGGTATTAAGACAGGACTTGATTATAACTGTTTATTTAATGAATCTAACGATACACCTGACTAGATCAAGCCAAAAACAGTTGATAGTACAACGAAATTTACAATTTACAGATGCAGAAGAAAGGATGAAAATTCAAGTAAATTAGAGCTAACAAATGTACAACATCAAGACCCTTCACATCATGGCTCTGAAAACATGGACAAAGATCAGGGTTGTTATGAAAACTACACACCTACAAATGATCAAGTTGAATATGAAGTTCCAAGATCCGTGATGCAATATGAAAACCTAAGAAATGACGTTCAATATGAAAATTTGACGGACAATGAACAGTATGAAAATCTCAGAGATAACACAGACTTGTATATGGTTGTAACCAACTAATTGAGACGGGACAAATTGTTTTTGTCAAAACGTAGCCATAAGTCAGTATCAATAATTGCACAAAAGATAAACACCATTGTAGAACAATGTTTAAATTGAGATAATTTACTCTGAACAGATCTCCAGAAGAGTAGACGCCGATGCTTTGGGGGAAAAGTTATTGATTATGATTTAACATAACCTACCCATTTTACTACATTAGAATATATAAATTTACTAGTATACGGTGTTTGTATTTGGTGATGTATGAAATATCATAACTAACCACCTCATACTGTATTCAGTCCAGCACACTCATGAAATTGTACTTCAAGTAAAGTAATGTAACCTTCAGGTTCACGGGAGTTCTATGCAAATAAGTGATCAGAAATATAGATAATTGGGTACTCCCGAAAAGTGTGTACCAGGTTAGGGTTAGGCAGTGGTGGGATTCAAATTTTTTGTCAGCTGGTTCCATCACTCAAATGTCATATTTTTCAGCCGATTCAGTTACAAAAAGTCATGTTTTTTTCAGTAATGCCAACCGGTTCGCTGATCTCATAAAATTCCGTGAGACGATTCTATAGAACCGATGCAAACCGGTTAAATCCCACTGCTGGGGTCAGGCTATAAATTTATGTAGATATTACTTATTTTAGTTCTATTACGAGTTCGGGGACTGTCTGTGTTAGCCAAGTGAATACCCCCTCTGTCCATAGGTTCAGTCCCTTCACACAACTTGATGTAAAGTAGGCGAACAAAATTAGTTATCTCCATATTGGTACACACACATAATCCAGTCAACTCAAGATGCATCTAGATTTTAAGTATTGTGCATATAAATTGTAAATTATGTTGATCAATGTGTAAAAAATATATAGAGGGTGTGCTTCAGGCGTTGTCGAAAACACATTCTCAAGAGTCATACATATGATGTTTTGCAAGGAATATCAGATTCCTACTTCGTAAGGGTTCAGTGCACTCATTAATACCATATCTGAAAATTACAAAAACATGATTTACGGTACTAAAAAACTCCAAATGTGACTGCAGCGTAATTTTCAACCAAATGCGAGAGATTGTTGACACTGTACTAACATAAAATTGTAAAACAAAAATTTTGGCATAATATGTCAAGATATGAGCAATATAATTGACAAAACAAGGCAATACAATAGAACAACATGCAGAGATAATGCAATATTATAAACATAAAAGCCCACATATTATGGCAACATCATTAGTCATAGTATGCAACAAGTATGCGAAAAAATGTTTATGTATTTTAAAATCTATGAGCATAACGCTGTTGAAGA